AAATTCAGACACGCGTGCGTGAGAAGCCACACACGCGCACATTCACATACACACATAAATCAGTGACTTCAAAGACCCAAGCTACAGTGCTCCAAGCCGTGAACAAAGTATATAGAGAGGCAGAGCCCAACTTTTAATTTTTAAGTAGTGCTAATGAGGTTTGGAGAGAAAAGAAAGTGTCAAAATCAGTGTTGTGCATGTGTAGTGTCTCCAGTAGTAACAGTTCGCCGGAAGGTGTTTCTATGGGGATGAATGAAGTGGGTGTTTTTTTCTTTTTTTTTTTTTTTAATCAAAGAAATGTTCATTAAGCTGAAGGAAGAAATGAATGTGGATTTGTTGGGCACACAGAGCCTTATTGGTCAAAGCATATTGGATGTCCTGCTTGTATGACGAGGTGTGTTTATGTCCGTCTCAGAGTTGCAGAGACACATACTTCAAAGAAAGACGCAGCTTAATCTAAATGGAAGAATCATTAAAGGCAGGGACCTTGATTTCACTACCTTCCCTTCATTTGATACAACACTCACATCTAACGCAGACATATGCACACAGGCATGTGAACACACACGCACACACACACACACTCCATTGCAAGTGGCAGCTATAGCTTTAAACCTACTCTCATTACTCATCCTGCTTAGCAGGGAACCACATCGTGTCTGCGTGTGTCCAAGCCGGTATAACTACATTACATGGATGCAAGGATGCAGAGTGGAGTGTATAAGTAGTACGTGTTTGGGGTACTGCATGGAGTGATTGCAAACTCCTTCATTGCAAGATGAAGGAGTTGTAGGGTGTAACAGAAGACGCATGGGATTACAACTACCGATATTCGGTTGTCTGTAGCAGCTCCATATGGTCCAGGATTGAGGTACAGGTCACCCAATACATGTAATTGTAGTTCTCCAAGTTTCTGAGTTCCATCGGTGGCTGCATTATAGTGCTTTTTCTTTTTATTTATGCATATTTATGCATTTGTTTCTATAGTGGAGTAATATCTACCTGAGCAGAGAACGAAGTCGCTCTCCCTCTGTGTGTGTTGTCATCTAAGCTTCTCTGTGCATTGCTGACATAGCCGTGTTTGCCTGTTAATGCTTGTTAGTGCATGTAAGCGTGCCCCACTGGCAAGCTAATGGCCGCCGCTCTGCACTGCCTTCACACGGCGGTTACAGCTGAGACGGCGGCGACCCTCCTGTCCCTGTCCCCCCCACCCACACCAGGTGAACACTGTCGGCACCATTGTTGTTTTTCGCAATGCTGTTAGCACCGTTAGCTGCGAGCCGTCTGCGCCATGTTGAGAGCCTTTTTTGAAAGGCACTAGATATGCACTGAATTTCATATTGAGCACCTTTTAAATAATTTGGAGAGCCACTCCACTCCCTGAAAAGTTTGACAAACTGGAGGTGAGAAGTAAATGAGAGGAACAAGATACTACACAGTAGTGCTCCCAATCCATGTCTCTTCTGGTTAATAGATGCAATGATGTAGAGAGAGGAGAGTATATGCAAGGGAAGCAGATTGTTAATTAAACATTGAAACAGCGGTGTTTCCAGTCGTCAAACAGATTGAATTTAATCTCTAAACAGAATGGAGTTAATTACAGACTATAAGGGTTTCATTTGGAGAAGCGCTAGATTCACTTAACATTGAATTTATCATCACAACTTGCAACCTGCATATTTTTTTTTAACAGCTGCAATGGGGGCAAGCAGTTGCAAATGCCCACACTCACACACACTCTTACAAACACACACACACAGAAACAGACACAAGGAATTGGGATTCATTCACATTCCACATCAAAGCCTCAATAATCAGGTTATTAGAGATAAAGTGAAAGCTATGTGTAGCTCAGCAGATATAGCGCCCATAATTCAATTAGCCCATTGTAGATTATTGTGCAGCAGCTGCTGAATTACATAATAAACTGGCTATTACTGTGATCCAATAGAGCTGAGACTGTTGTTTTACTTTTGAAGTAAATAAAGAAAATGTCTAACCTGTCTCCCACTAGTGTGCCTGGCTTGTGATATATCTCGAAACAATTATCCAGTTTTTGTTCACAATCAGCCAAATTATGAGCCTCAGGATTGTGTTTTTGTTGGTCGGGGAGAAGCGAAACAGTGATGACTGTCCGCTTCAGCAGCACAGTTTGCTTAGTGGACTCAAGGACAATGTCTGGTCGCAGGGTGGTGGGTGCAGTATGGCTGGGAAACTTCAGTTGTCGTTCGAGGTCCACCAAACGGCTGCCAGTCCTTTGCCGAGGTTAGGATGCCTGCGTATGTTCTTTTGGCTGGATATGGAGGCTCCCGGTGATTGCCTTCTTGGAGGGTCGAGACAGCTTTGCCCACTTAACTGAGATGCAGGTTTTTTAACCACAGATCTTCACTGAAATCTATACCAGAGTTTATAGTTCAGAGAAACACTTTTTCACATCTGACCAAATGTCTTTCTCGTACTAGGAACTTTCCACTCAAGCCTGCACAGGCAACTCAAAAGCATTGGCCTCAAAAATAGCTTTGGTATTAGCTAGACTTTTGTCATCCATCACTCTTTGTCAATCCATTTCTAGTTTGCAGTGGGAAGCAAATCCTCTGTCTGCAGTGTTGTGATGCGCCAGGGTTTTGATGTTAAATCTCTCTCTTGCAAACCCTCCTTTTTATTTAACAACTTCTGCTTTCAACAAGACGTTCAGTGAGTGATTTGGAAAAAAGAAAAGAAAAAAGACGTCGCTGTCTCTGTTGACCCAACCTCACAGCTTTCCTTTCAACGGAGTGGCGAAGGTGAGCACTAATAACTGACGCTCGCTTTTAATGAGCCGCTTTTTTGGCACCATCAAAGAGGAGAAGTGGGTTTATTTTTGAGGTTCGCAATAAATTTGGCTGTACAACTGACAGTTAGGTGTGTCTACTCTGTGAGTATGTGTGAACGTTAACGCACAGATATAATTTAATATCGTCTTCATCTAGGAAGTCTGTTCTCCATGGGGACAGTTATTGATGATGGGAAGGAGGTTATCAAACACAGAAAGATTTAATCCCTTTTATACTGGTCCAAGGACAATGGTGGAGAGAATGCAAACATCAGCACTTGTGTGTGCCTTGTTTCCTCATAATGTGTGCATGTACACAAAAGTGTAAATCAAGTTGGTGATTATCCTTGAGAAATCATTCCAAACCTCCCAAGTTTGTATAGCTTGAAGGGTAGCTGGGGTTGCCTGTGCAGACTTTGTCACTGCAGTTATTAGCCTAGCGAGGCTTTTAATCTGGGGCTAATGAGTATTTGTTCTGTCACTCATGCATACTGGTGTGCGTCTGCATGGGTAAGAATGCATATGTGTGTGTGTGTGTGTGTGTGTGTGTGTGTGTGTGTGTGTGTGTGTGTGATTAAGGGGAGTACTATAGTGAAAGCAACAGACTGTACAGCTGTTCAATAAAAGGGCTAGAACTGGCAGGGGGGAGAGGGGGATATCATTCACTCTCCCTCCAACACGCTGTCACAAACACGCAGACAAACGTATGAACATTTAACACACATGCACGGAAAAAAACGGACACGCTCAGTCTTATTGTGCACAAGGATAATGTAATGTTTAACGGGAACATAGTCCTTACACGCACACCTTTACACCGTGAGCTGAGCTAATGATGTAAGGAAGCAGAGCTAATTAGAGCTTAAATATGGAGTCTGGATTAGTGCAAAGATGGTATGTTGGATTCTGTGAGTGTGTGTGTGTGTGTGTGAGAGCAGAGAGAGTGAGAGTCATTCAAAAACCTTACATTCCCCCCCCTCCTATTACACACTCTTTTTGTTAGTGAGTGTGTGAAAAAGGAAGAAAGAACAAGGTCAACAAATACCTCCCTCATTATCCCGTATTGTGAGTGAAATAACTAATACTGCTGTGACTGCCATTCTTGCCCTCCTCCACAATAGAGCATGACGGAGTGTGAATTGGGTGCAGCGGACATTTCAGCACAGTGCCGTGATTCATTGTCATAATATTGCTCCATCCATCTTTTAACCTTGTTTCTCGCCGTTTTATTTCCGTTGCTGTCAACACCTCCTACCGTCAACATCATTTCAGCTTCACCTTTCAGCATGTTCTCTAAACTTCTCTATTCATTCCTTTCCATCCTGCCCCTCTATTGCTGTGGCTCAAAACTGTTCACCTCTTCTTGGGGGCGGCCCATGAGCGGGTCCGTCTTCCAATTGGAGGATTGGCCGTTCAATCCCAGGCTCCTCGAGTCCAAGTGTCCTTGGCCAAGATACTGAACCCCAAATTGCTCCCATTTGGATGTGCCATCGGTGTATGAATGGGTGTGAATAAGAATTAGTTCAGTCCTGATGGTCAGGATAGCCCCAGGCATCAGAGTATGAGGATGTGTGAATGAAGTGTTGTGTTAATCACTTTGAGTGGTCGGAAGTCTATTTACCATTGATCATTCTTATCTCCTCCTCTCCCTTATCCTCTCTTTTTACCTTTTCTACAACTTACTTTTCTTTTTCTGTGTCCATCATTGCCTCACCCCTACTCCCCTTCTCTCTTATCTTATTTCCCCAACTGCCATGTTCTACCTTGTTTCTCCGTACTTCCTCCATAACTTGCCTCATCTCGCTCAAAACCTCAGACTCTTTTTTCCGCACTGTGTTTTGGCATGCATTTTTAATGTGGTAATATGTGATCCTCATATATTATTCTTATTGCTTGTTACTGTGGTACGTTGGCATTCGCCGAAGTTGAATTTTTGATGGTGGCTGCTGCTGTTAGACTAACCATCCAGTTATTCCTATGCTTAAATCAAAGTGCTGACGCTGCTGGAAGTGTAAAGTCACATCACTTGCATGCACCAGAGGAAGTGTTCAGAACACATTTTAATAAACCAATCGAGGGAGAACAACTACGTTTGAGTGACGAATGCAAAATGAAGAAATGCGAATCATTGACTAAAATATTGATGATTCATTCTGTCCCTCTTTCTCTGTCTCTTTCTGTCTCCCAGGTGGTGTGTGTATCGCCCAGTCCTTGAAGATCCCCAGGGAGCCCAGGCTAGGAGAGTTTGACAAGATCATCAGACGCCTGCTGGAGACCTCCAATGCCAGGGCCGTCATCATGTTCGCTAATGAGGACGACATACGGTACGTGCTGTGCACTTAAACAAGCGCCTCCTCTGCCACTGCTCATTGTTTTTCTGCCGCCTTCACTTTTACATGTGGTCTAGTGACATATTCTGCTGTGTTTTCGTTATAATAATGACGTAAAGATATTCCCACGTGCCACTTTGAGTTAAAAGCAATAATGACAAACTGACTATTCCTTTAAGACAGTTATGAGACCATTGATGTAAAAGTACTGATATAATAACAGAAGTAAAAGTCGTCATCAACATGCTTTTTAAGCTGAATTGTCCTTGTCCTATTTCCTGTTTGTTTTCTCTTCATCATTAGTTGATGCTGTTTATTAGAGCATGGCACAGCTACTGAGGAGAGGGACTTCACTGTCTTGGTGGGGCTTCAACAGGGCAACAGGATCCAGCCAGAGCCCATTTTGTTGTTCTTTTCCAACCTTCACAAACACTTACATCTTCTGCTCTCTTCTCAAACAGACGGGTTCTGGATGCAGCTAAAAGGAACAACCAGACTGGTCACTTCCTGTGGGTGGGCTCAGACAGCTGGGGGTCCAAAATCTCACCTGTGATTGGCCAGGAGAGAGTGGCTGAGGGAGCCATCACGATTCTTCCCAAACGGGCGTCTGTAGATGGTAAGAGTGTATGAAGAAAGATGCATACAATGACGCCGTGACCATATGTCATAACGTATACAGTCAGTAACTCACATCTAATGGGTGAACAAAACTTTGAGACTCTTTCCTCACACCTGCAGGTGTGACAAAGGAAAGGAAGCTGACGTTGTGTGCGTGTGTGCTGAAAGTCTAACAGATCAACTTAAGGGGACAGGGGGAAAGACCAGAAACAGACAGTGAAATACACACATTCCCTGACTCTTGATCCCAGTGGATAACACGTTTTTGCCATTAGGCCAGGGAGGATATCCTCATCTGCTTGCTGTCAGAGCTCCCTATTAGATAATTGACTCCTGAAGGGACAGAGAGATGGGCAAGATATGAAGTGAAAGTGAGGGAGAAAGAGCCTATGTAGAAGTTTAAATGAATCAAAGTCAGCTTTGGCTGGTCGACATAACAACGCTCTATAGGGTCTTCAGAATAGACATAGGAGCTGTGAGTGAGACAGAACCAGCGCAGGATTAATGAGGAGTGCATACACTGCAATTGTACCAATGTATTAGGTACACCTGACAATGTGATGCAGTACAATAACCGTGTAATAGATTCTACCTCTGTGAAGCTTAAAATGTTCAGTTTATGTTGACACAAAGTCAGAGGTGTGTTGATTCAACTCTAATGTAATTTTCTTTTTTTTCTTTTGTTTATTGAGATAGATAAGCAAATATCCACCAAATATTAAATCATCACCAATGCATTATTCTTATAATTGCTTTGTGCCAAGGGATTCTCAGATTCACACACACTGTCATATTTATTCCATTCAATCCAGTTTACCCAAATTCTGTTATATTTTTTCATCTCTAATGTGGAGAAGAAAGTCAAAATCTCCATCGTTTCTCCCACCTCTTTTGGGAGTAAATCTGCAACTTGTTGTTTTTTACACTGTGGTTTTTGTACGGAATAAACAAACCGGATATGATGCTGCTCAGTCATGTAACTCATAGAGACTGCTGCCCGTAAGACAGTCCAGGGTCCCCAAACATTTGGCCCCTTGGTGGAGATAATTGTGTTTTCTAATACGTGAGACCTAAACCGAATGTCGTTTAAAGAACCTCACATTACCACAAATACTTTTTTTGTTTTTCATGAGCATCATATCTGTGATCTTGATGAGAAGCGTGTGATCCCAGATTTGCTGCCTGTTGAGCTCCACAGTGAGTGAACCCACTGTTCCCACTGCAGTCTAAGTGGCAATTGAGCTACACAGGTGCACACAGGACCAATTTCTCTGACGGCAGAGGAGATTAATCAATGCAGCTCTTGTCACCTTTTAGAGCGAGTCTGGCATTGCACAGGCTGTCCAAGTCAGTCTGATAGTCCCCGGTGATTTACCCATCCCCCATGGTTTGCTTCACATGCAGTGTGTTGCCCTGAGCTGCAATCCCAGTGGTGTTGGAAATGACTCCTTTTTTTATTTTTTATTGGTGAAGTGTAAATGATTCTTTGTAGTCATCTCGGGGCATACCTTAGGGACATTGAAACAAGAAATAACTCTTGCAGTATTCAAGCAGCCAACACACCACTGATGATGTTAATAAAAGCAAAATGGCAATAGAAAAACATCTTCTTAAAATCCAGTTTTGCCATATTTTCCTCTCACAAAGTAAAAAGCTGTTTTCCCAATTAATTATGGTATGAACTAGTTGTACAAGTATAATTAGTGTTTTTATCTTTTCATTTCTTTCTTCTTTTGTACATCTCTTTATCACAGCCTGCCATTCTCTAATATTTGTATTCCTGTGAGTGGAGAAATAGGTATTTCCCTGTTTCCTGCTTATTAAACTGGACAAGTAGCCAACATAGACAGTGGAAGCTCGCTCTAACATGTTTGCTCTCGGCCTCATTATTTGATAGGCGCTCCCAAACTGGATGGCTCTGCAGAAATGGCTCTTCAGTCATTCTTGAGATGGCTTTTCATAACATATGCCTTTGGGAGTCAAAGCTTTATTATACCGCCATTAACATCTAGTTTTTTAGTACAGGACTTACGCGTTCGTGTTCTCCTCACATTACACCATCAAACAAGATCTTGCTGTTGAACAACTTCATCTAGGTTTTTAAACTTTTACTCGTCTGTGTCTTTTACAGCGTTTGACCGGTATTTCCGTAGCCGCTCGCTGTCCAACAACAGAAGAAATGTTTGGTTTGCTGAATTCTGGGAGGAGAACTTCAACTGTAAGCTGGGTATGCATGGTAAACGACCCGGCAGCCTGAAGAAATGCACAGGTAAGACACGACACTTTCTCTTTTGACTTTTAATGAGTTAGTCTCCACCATTGTTTCCACCAATTTAAAAAAAAAAAATTCCACAAAAACTCAAAGTGCCTGGTTGCCCAAACTAGCAATTTCAGCAAATGCATTCGGTTGAATTTTTTTGGATCGCTCCATAGTACAGACACAAAAAGAGATACACATTGTCCTAGCTGGAGTGGGATTTTATATTACGTAACAGGCTGTCACAAATCATTTGCCAATTTGAGAAGAGGAGTTTTAACTCAAATAGGGTTGTTAGTTTTACCTTCTAACAAATCAGGCAGGTGGTCAGTTCTAATTGGTCTTCTCTCATCCTAGCACCACAACAACCAGATCCTTTGCATCTTGCTCGGTGCCGTTGCCCTTGTTTTGTTTGCTGCAAATCAAGGACGAGCTTCAATGCCCATTGATGTAGCTTCCAGCTTAAGCAATCGCCAAACTATGTTCTGTGAGCCTTCTCTGACATTTAACAGCAGCTGCAATTTTTCACAAGATTGAAGTCACCAGAGAAACGAGTCAACACAAAAAAGCAACCGGTTGTTCTGGTATTTTCCAATTAGGCCAGCCCACAAAAATCGGTGCAGATTTGCCACATATATATATATATATATATATATATCTTGATGGTAGGGAGCACTGGTGGCTCTAATAAGTACTACGCAATACAGCTGAACAAGAACAATTGTTTGTGTACTCAAAACTAAAAGAGAAATTAAATAATCTGTGGAGTCTGTTCTTGTATATACGATAATTTAGTCTCCTCTGTGGAGTGTGTGTGTGTGTGTGTGTGTGTGTATAGCGTATGTGTGTATTTGTGCTGTAATAGGCACTTCTTGTTGTCAGTTTTTGCATATGCGATGCTCATTTTATGTGTGGTTTGGCCTGCATTTTGCTGTCATATCAAAATGCCTGCAGCTTGTTTTGATTTTTTACTAAAGGCCAAGCACTGCTATGATGAGTTACAGGTGTGTCCTCGGTTGTGTGTACATGTGTGTGTGTGTGTGTGTGTGTGTACGTGATCTAGACAGGGCTGTGTGTGCACTTTCAAAGTACCTACAGCTGTCATTGGCAACACAAACAACGTCACCAGGGCCAATGGACTTTGTATGCATGTATGTCCATGAGAAAGAACATAAAGCCCTTCAGGTTTAGGTTCTGTATGACGTCGTGCTGCTGTGATTGAGCCTGTATGTTTGTGTGTGTGTGCGTGTGTGTGTGTGTGTGTGTGTGTGTGTCTGTGTGTGTCACAGTGAGTATCCCCAGGCTGACACCCGCCATTAATTCACATAATTAGGTTTGTAAGGTCTGCGACTCCCATTGACCATCTATTACTACCCGTGGCATCTGTGTATGTGGGCGTGCATGTGTCGAGGGCCCTGGCCTGTATTCGTGTGGCAAAGTCCATTAATTCCAAGTGCTGGGGGTCACGACCTCCAAATCATCAACACAGAAGCCAATCAGCAGCCTGCTGCTCAAGGTCGCCATGGTGACACAGCTGATGGGAGGATGTGGAAATGGGTGTGATTATTGCATTTCATTGGGCTGAGAGATGGACTAATAGAAAGAGAGCAAATGTCAACAAGTGCAAATTAACTGCAAGAGGGGTTGAACAATAATGTTTGGATGCAGGAATGTGGTACATAGACAAATTTAATGGTCATTACTGCAGCTACATACATATACATGACATCAACTTTCATCGCTATCATTTCATCTTCCATAAAAAGAAGAGAAGGCACAAAAGCAAAAGAAAATCCAAGGCACTCCGAGTCTAGTAAAAAGCCTTTTTTCCCTTAAGCGTGGTTGATATGCTCGTATGCACATCAGCCAGGAAAACTCAGATACCGGGATAAAACTGTTGTGTTGAAAGCATGCAGTCAGGTAAAAACTGATACCTGAGGGGAAGCTGACTGAGGCAGACACCAGATCATAGATAAGCCTACATACACACCTACTGTACACGCTCACAAACACTTACATGCTCAGTGGCTGCAGATAAAATCACCAATGGGTGCACAAGCACTCTGTTAATTACTGTGATACTTTGACCTGATACTTTAAGTCACACCGGCCTTGTCGTTATAAAGATGCTGCTGGATATACTTATAATACAAGCTCTGTCTTTCTCTCTTTCTCCGAGACACACGTACCTTTTTTGTATTGATCCACTAACCTGAACACTGACACAGAATACTCAGTGAAATATAATATTATTCTTTAAAGGTACTAAACTCTAAATTCAGAGCATATCTATGATTGAGGGATTGCCTCCACACTACACTACACATCTTTATTCTCTGTTCAGGCAGCCATTACTCAACTATATATTTAAATTACAAATAGTGGTTTGCTGCTATATTAATTCACTGAATGTCAAATTTAGCACCTTCTCAAGAACTGTCTTAACTGAAATATGTATTCTCAATTCGTCCATCAAAGTCAAACAGTTGTTATGAGTTAAAGAGGGCTACACAGGAAATTGAGGGCGTATGTATCGGCTCTCAACATGGCGACGGCTAGCCAGTGGCTTGGAGCTAACAATGCTGACAATGCCAACAGCGCTAACAATGATACTAAAGAGAGTCAAAATGCAATTTACGGTTCATGGAGTTTGGCTTTGCTCTGGTCTGCTCCCCAAGTACAATAAGTCAGCAGGATCTGCGCCTGACGGGAGTAAAATGGGATTAAAACCATAAAGGTTCAAATATAGAATCAAATACATGACAGATCTGAATTGTGATTGGTTGTTGCGCGGATGTTTCCGCATGGATGAGTTCACTGCTCCTCGTACAAAGCGAATGCGGAGCAGCGCCTCCGTCTTACTCGCTGCACTGTGACTCTGACTCATCTCTCAAATCATAATATCCTACTTCTATGCAACCTACATTTCCTTACTCTGGAACGGACACAGACACACTTGGACAGGGTTGACAGAGAGATACACACACAAACACACACACACACACAGGGCGTACACATGTTTCACACAGTTCTCGACCTGGGCTCATCAGTGGATCTATTCCACCAGTGACTAGCATTGGTTGTGACAGGAGCCATGAGCTTCAGGTACACACAGAGGAATTAAAGTGCAGTACGAGCAGAAAACAAGGTCGTTACACTGTTGCCTGTTGTTTTTTTTCTCCTTCATGGGTTGTGACTTGTGTCGCTCTCTAGAGAATTATATCATCATTGTATCTTCCTTTTTCTTGGCTTTTGTGATCTTTCTTTACTTTGTTGACTGTCAATCTTGAGTCAACTTTCTCTCTGTCTGACTGTTTCACTCCCTTTCTCTCTGACTATTTATGTCACTTCTGTCTCTTCTGCCAAGATCAAACTTAAATGGCTTCATTGTCATGAACACACTGAGATATTCCATACAAACAAAGCACGCTGTCGATATAGTCAAACAACGTGATGTATTTATATTATTCAAAGCACCAAACACTGTAAATATTCAACAGTTATCTCCCTCAGTCTTACTTGTTCTCGTGTGGATTTGTGCTTTGTCATATCTTAGATCGTTTACATGGTCACAAAAACTAATCTGCCGTATCATTTGTTCTACATCAATGTAAACGTGGCGAATAAAAGCCAAATCTTTAAACAAAGCAGACTTCTACATCAATGCTTACACTGAAATATTTGTGATGAGCTAGCTATCTGGGAAGAGCTATTTGCAAAGCTATTTGTAAGGATGTATCTTTTATGCAGCTGTATAGTTTGCACTTGCGTTGCATATTATGGATGAATCTAGTCTTGCATGCTGAGTTTAATAGGTCCAATAACACTTAGCCAGAGGTCCTTTCACCCTACTGAATGGGGGGGGGGGGGAAACACATGGTGCAGATACAGGCAGTGGACAGCACATCAAACAATACAGAACCACTTTGCTTCAAACACATCAAGTAAAATGTGTATGTTAATTGATGTAGATTTGATCGACAAACAATATTTATCCTTCCATACATTACATTACATGAACAAACAGACTGTAGGCCACAATACATATTCAGTGTTTATTCTACACCACAATGTGTGCTCACGTAAAGGAAAAAATGTCACAAAAAAATAATATGCCTCAGCAAATATTTATTTAACTTGAGGTCACACCTATGAGAAAAGTGTGAGGCATAGTTTACCATTAGCTCAGGGAGATGCAAACTCTCATCAAGGTGAGAATGTGAACAATGTGTGTAAAGAGTGCAAACTCTCTATATGAGAACAATTCTATCATAATAGTTAAAGCTCTCTGGTCTACTTTCCCTGATTAGCAAGATTACCACGGGACTGTAGTTCCTCTTGCAGCTGCCTAATGAAGGTTATGCTGAAAATTCCAATCCTACTTTATAGGCAAACAGAAGATTATCAAATGCCTACACACACATGCGCGCACAAAGCTTTACATTTCCCTCGTTTAATATGAAATATTAATGCATTACAGAGTGTTTGTTAATGGTGAAATTATCTTCCAAGGGCTACTAAGAGATAGTTTAAAGCACTTGCTTTCTAAGCACGAGGACACTGTTCTTACTCGGTAAGAAACTAAACTTTAGAAGTCTTCATCCAACACCAGTGATGCGTGTATAGATATATGGATGCATCTGTTTGAGATTCACTCAGTTCCAGGAGTTAATTAGATCCCGACTTAGCTCAGCATGCACACGTTTACCCTCGTGCACAAACACATGTTCGCTGGCTGGAAATAGACCATATCCTAACGAGGTCGATGGGGAAGGAGAGTTATTAGGCTCGCAGGCTGGATAAACTGTTCCCGCCCCTGTGAAAAGGCCTCCGGGCCTAACAAGACTGAAAGATGGAGGCAAACACAGATGGAGATCGACAATTAGAGATTGATGGGGCGCAGACAGACGGATTGCAGAGTGTGAGACAGAGATGGCGACAGACTGTGTGGGATGTGGGATGACGTGACATTTAGCTGCAGTGAAATGATTTTTCCACAAGATTGAAGTCTT